CTGCTTCAGTTGTTCTTCTTGTGCTCTTTTTCCCTCGCAAAGCTGATGGACATTAAGAAACCCAAAATCTCGTTATCATGTTATCAGCTTAGGGATGCTTGTCATCTGAATAATAGGGTGGATATTTATAATCTGAAATGTTAAGATAACAATACCAAACACGTACATAGCACAAACTGCTGTTCAAAGCGCTTTACATTTATTATTTTCCTCAAGACAACTGTATGAAATAGACACTATTTTTGTCATCCCCACATTTTAGAATGGGAAGTTGAGGCACAGAGGGGCCATGTAACTTTCCCAAGGTGGTAGAGCCGGGACTTGAACCTGTGTTTTCTGGTTTTGGAGCCTGCAGACTTCACCGCCACACCATATTGTGTAGCATGATACTTCATATGGTTAAAGTGTTTTCTTGTATTCGCCTGGGAGCATTTTCTGAATAATTTGAATCTTACAAATTTGCTTCAAAGAATACAAGTAAATTGAAATGGAAGATCTAATATAGAATGTGTGGCATTCATGAATAAATTATAGGACTCTCTGGTTTTTTTTTTTGTTTTTTGTTTTTTTTTTTGAGATGGAATCTTGTTCTCTCACCCAGGCTAGAGTGCAGTGGCATGATCTTGGCTCACTGCAAGCTCCGCCTCCTGGGTTCCTGCCTTTCTCCTGCCTTAGCCTCCCGAGTAGCTGGGACTACAGGCGCCCGCCACCATGCCTGGCTAATTTTTTTTGTATTTTTGGTAGAGACAGGGTTTCGCTGTGTTAGGCAGGATGGTCTCAAACTCCTGACCTTGTGATCCACCCGCCTCGGCCTCCCAAAGTGCTGGGATTACAGGCGTGAGCCACCGCACCCGGCTAGGACTCTCTGGTTTTAAATAATAATTATTTGCTTATCTTGTGCCTTTTGTCAGGCAGGGCTGTCATGTGCTCGCCTCACTTTCCTTCTCTTCAATAAGAGAAGATGGGCTCAGAGACAGGCACAACTGATCGTAAAATCTCATCACATGTTCCGTCACCATCTGGAAGCTGGAGATAGGTTTGTGAAATCTTGGTTGAGAAAGAGTTGAATGCCACTTTAGCATAGCGGGTTTTAAAAAGATGGTTTTACTCTCCAGTTCTGTTGCACAGGGCCCTGTGAGTTTTGTCAACTAACGTATCTGACCAACAGTTTTCTCACAAAGATTATCAGGGTTCAGAGGAAATTATCTTCCAGTTTTATTCTGCTGCTAAAGTGCTATATTTCTTTATAGATGAACTAATCAGTTCTTGGTCACTCGCTTTTCATTAGACATTTCTCTGCCTCTTTAGGGTGTGCTTTATGTCTTTTTATGCCCAGGCTCAGGTTTTTCCTTCTAACTGCAAGAAAAAGATCATTGAAATGTTCTCTCAAACTTCTGGGTTCAAATGATCTTCGCCTCTGCCTCCTGAGTAACTGGCATTACAGGTGTGTACCACTGTACACACACACACATACACAAACATGCATATAGACACGCAGACATTCACATGTATACACACATGCAGAGATATACACATATCCACACATACTAATTAGATAAACATTTACACACACCAAGACACACGCGCACACACACATATACACACCTTGTTTCCATCTTCTTCTCAGGACTCAGGGCTCTCAAGACAGTGGACAGAGTCTTGTACCATGAGTCAAGGATCAACTGTGCAACCTTGCCCAAGTGTCTTCCCTTTTGAGGTCTTGTTTATAATAATAAACATCCTTACCCACCAATTAGGGTTATTTTGAAGATGAAACAGAAAAAATAACAGAATGATGGCATGTTGTATAGTAAAAAAAAAAAACCAAAAAACAAAAAACAATTAGCGTTGACCAGAAAGAGGTCTGGCCTTTGTTCTAGGGCTCCTGGGAGGTAACCGTGAACATGTAATACCTGATAGGAATATCTTTGCCTGGGGATCCTGGGTCATGATGGGTAGTCTAATAAGGAGATTTAAGGTGGAGACTAGCCAGACCAGGAAAATGGACTGTGTGATTTAGAGTCTGGGCTTTAGGTCACCCCTGGAAGGACTGGAGACTGGAAACTGAGAGCAGCTATGTGGACAATCAAGCATGCCTCTGTAATGAAGTTCCAGTAAAAACCCTGAATGCTGAGGCTTGAGGGAGCCTCACCGGCTGGGAATATTCCATGTGTACTGGCACATATCAAAGCCAGGAGGGTGATGCCAGCTGGGAATATTCCATGTGTACTGGCACATATCAAAGCCAGGAGGGTGATGCCCTCTGACTGGATAGGGAGGGGATAATGGACACTCAGTGCCTGGTGCCCTCCTGGACTCAGCCCTATGCCTTTCTTCCCCGGCTGATTTTAATTTGTCTCCTTTCTGTGTAATCAAACTGTAACTGTGAACACGACAGCTTTCTGTGAGTTGTCGCCGGTTCTTAGAGGTGAGCAAGCAGAGCTGATCTACTGACTGCCTGGAAAAACTCTTTTACAATCCCTCAACCAAGGAAGGCCAGAGCTTTCCTGAATCTGACCCAACAGATTTTGAGCCAAAGTTGAAGACATCTGAAGCCAAAGCCAGGCCAGACAGAGATTAGGCTCCTGGGAGGGCACAGGTGCAGTCCTGCTCAGGCTGCAGTGTCCCTGGGCTACAGCTGGACAAGGGCTCCTTTGGGTCACAGCCTTTAGGGACAGGGGTTTGGGACTGGTCAACTATCTGATTTGTAAGACTCTGTTGATGAGCTCAGCTGGGAAACTGTGTGGTAATGGGAAGAGAATGGTTTTGCTTTTCCAAATCATCTACCCCCTGCATGCTTTGATCCACATTGGAACGCAGTGTGGAAACTGCCTTTGAACAGCCTAAGCCTGAACTCTGGGCCATGTGTCCAGTTTTTTGGCCTCTAGCTTTGTTCAGTCCTTACCCATACCCATCACTGATGCCAGATCTATCCTCCTAAATATCCTTTTCATCATGTTACCCTCCCCACCACCTCATGGCACCTTCTACACAAGAAGAAATGTCTCCAACCTCAGCCTGGCATTCAAGGCTCTTTCTGATGTGACCCAACTCTCTCCCCGTGTGCCTGCCAAATTGGATCAATTTTTTCTATTCATGAGCTGAACTTTCCCACTTCCATTCTGTTGCTTACACTGTGACCTTCCTGTGAATGTGCTCTTTCTCCCTCTCCCCAAGTCCAAATTCCATAGACTGAATTGTGTCTCCCCAAAATTCTTATGTTGGAGCCGTAACCCCCTATATGATTGTATTTGGAAGTAGGGCTCTTAGCAGGGAATTAAAGTTAAGTGAGGGAGGAAGGGCAGAGCAAGATGGCTACATACTAGTTCTCTATCAATCATTCCCCCTGCAGGAAAATCAAATTTGACAACTGTCTACACCAGAAAACCATCTTCGTGAGAATCAAAAATCAGGTGAGGACTCACGACACCTGGTTTTAACTTCATATCACTGGAAAAGGCACTGAAGAGGGTGGGAAAGACGGTTTTGAAACACCAATGTCGCACCTCCCCCATCCCCCAGCAGTGGCTGCTGTGGTGCTTAGAGAGAATCTATGCACTTGGGGGAGGGAGAATGCAGCAACTGTGGGACTTTGCATTGAACTCAGTGCTGCCCTATCACAGCAGAAAGCAAAAACCAGGTGGAACGCATGTGACACCTGCCCATGAAGGGAGCATTTAGACCAGTACTACCCAGAGAGGTCACCCATCCCAGTAACACAGTTAGAAGGCTTGAGGCTTGTGTTTTGACAAGCCATGGCATGGCAGGCTATTATGCTCTGGGGCCCTAATTAAACTTGAAAGGCAGTCTAGACCATCATAAGGACTTCAACTCCTAGGCAAGTCCTAATGTCATGCTGGGCTCAGAGCCAGTGGACTCAGAGGGCACACGACCTAGTGAGACACCAGCCTGGGCAGCCAAGGGAGTGCTTGCACCACCCCTCCCCCAACCCCAGGCAGTGCAGCTTGCAGCAACAAAAGTGACTTCTTCCTTTTGCTTGAGGAGAGGAGGGGGAAGAGTAAAGAGGACGTTGTCTCACATCTCAGATACCAGCTCAGCCAGAGTGGAAGAGAACACTAGTCAGAGTTGAGAGGCCCACATTCCAGGACCTGGCTCCTCAATGACATCTCTAGATACGCCCTGGGCCAGAAGGGAATCTGCTGCCTTAGAGAACCCAGTCCTGGCTCAAGAGCCCTTGGGCCCTGAATAGCCAACAGTGATGCCCAGGTAGTGTGCTACGGGCCTGGGGTAAGACCCTGAGACGCGCTGGCTTCGGGGGAGACCCGGCGCGCTCCAGCTATGGTGACAGTGGTGAGAGGCCTCTGCTTGAGCAAAGCAGAGGGAAGGGTAAAAGGAACTTTGTCTTGCCGCTCAGGTTCCTACCTGGCCACAAAGGGGCAGAGCACCAAATGGGCTCTTGTGGTCACAGATTCTAGGCCTTGGCTCTTAGACAGCATTTCTGGACCTGTCCTGGGCCAGAGGGGAGCCCACTGCCCTGAAGCTGAGTCCCAGGCCTGGAAGCATTCACCACAAGTGACTTAAGAGCCCTTAGACCCTAAGTGAACATCGACAGTAGCCTGGCAGTACTAGTGTGTGAGGTGTGTGACTCAAGGCAGGGTCCCACCCCCGCTGAAACACTACCGCCAGCCAGCAGGCTCAGGCACCTTGGCCTGTTGCTCGTAGGGGTCGCCTATGCTATTCAGTCAAGGGGACCACAGTGCCCGCTGGCCCAGCTGAGCTCCACCTAGCGAGCCTGCCCGCCTCCCCTGCCACGGACTCTCCCTCTTCCGCTTTTCTCAGCAGGAATGGCCCAGCCTCACCTAGGCAACCGGCAGCCCCCCAACCAGCTGAGACTCCCCTCTTAGACCTGTAAGTCTATGGCCAGTGGCATCCGGCTGCCTGCCCTCCCTGCCTCCCCCAGGATCCCTTCAGAGGGTCCTGGGATTTCTGATGCCCCAGAGGGGCCTCCGGTGCTCATTCCAACCATCCATCCCTTTTAG